ATTTGGTATATAATCTATTGTACAAATTATTATTATTTATTACATGTATATGCTGCTCAACTCCCAGATGTAGAAACTAAGTGAATGACATAATCAGGTTAAGTTCATTGTGTGAATATTCTGTTGTTCACCTGAGCATCCATTATTCAAACTACTGTTGTACCCAGTCCCATTTAAATATTACACTCTATAACCATTGACAGACCTATCCTGTTAATGTCCTTAATTCTTCTTTTTTAAGTATCTGACATTGAATATACTGAATGCACTTACCCATTTTAATATTAATTTAAATCCTTAGGCAATGCTATCATTTACAGAAACATTTAATGAGGAAAAAAAGGCCTTCCTTCCCATTCTGGAATCTAAAAGAAAAGTGTCAGAGCTGGATGAAGATTACGTGGAGATGAAGGAAGCACGGAATAACCTATCATCTCAGGTCATTAGGATGTTTGAAGGGATGTGCAGTTTATGTTGTTGTTGTAAAAGGCTTCTTGTCATCCATTTGGACATATGGTTTCCATGAGAACACATTTCATGCCATTCAAATATGAAGCAAAGATGGGGGAATAGAATATTTTGTCAGTCAGAGGGGTACCTCATCTGCTCAAATGGAACGATGGTTCCAATGTGCTGGTAGATTTTGGTGACATAGAATATGAGTAGATGAAAAACCAACATGAACAGCATTTCTCTGACTTATTTGTCTAGATGAATGAATGGAAAGCAAAACTGGACAATTTGTTACCTCCACCTCTATATGCCACTGAGGCTTGGCTCAAAGAAACAGAGCAGCATCTGGCACTCAGTCTACCGATTTCTCAAGATCATTTGAAAGCAATGGCAGCCCTTGAAGAAAAAATGAGAGCTATCCAGGTTGGTTAAGGAAAATAAAATAAGTATTAGTAAAACATATCATCATCCTGACATTTGCTATAGTTTGTAGCACTGTTAGCCCTAATACTCATACAATCGGCAGTGCCTTTTTCCTACTATTTGGGGAAATATGAACGATATCAAGGAAAAGGCCACAGGCTTGCATTTGGTCCACCGTATAGCAGAATAAGGATCTAAACAATCAAGTAAATTCAACTTACACAAAATATTTGACAAATCAGCAGTTAAATGTGGGTAACTTCAAATGAACAAGCACCCATTTCTATTGGAGTTTCTCTAGTTTTATGATGCATTGTATGACTGATAGATTTGGGGTTGCTTTTCAATGATTGGTTGAACTCACATTTTGAGATGAGCCAAAACTTTGCATTTTAGATGTTTCTATGTGGGAGTTTCAATATTTCTCAAAGAAAAGTTGCTCAGAAAGTCTGGCTCCGTATTTGAGGAGCTGTGGACAAAATATTCTCTAATGAGCTACTTCCTCTGCTGAATGGCCTTGATGAGCATCCTACTCTGTGTAGAGTTGGGCCTAGCCACTCTTGACATTTCGTACAATTCTTTATGCTGGATCAGACATTGTAAGACATTTAAACAATGGCTTCATTCAGCCTCTTAGCACTGTTGAGTGTCCTTAACAAGTGGAATTGTGGAAAATGTAAAGGGTGACCACCCCAGCATTGGTCTGAATATTATCTCTTCAGCCAAATACAATCCCAGACATACTCACCAGGCATCATCAGTGAGTTTCTGGGGCCCTTGGCAGCTGTCCAAGAATTACAGCAGTTGACACATATCCTGGTATGTATAATATAAAACATAGTGTAATATAAAAACAATGTAATATTCAGCTACATAACATTATTTATATAATTCAGTAATAATGCTATCAGCTCTTTAAGTAAAGAAAGATGTAACATTTCAGGGACTGTCTTTATAACCATTCCATGAACTATTCCATTATTATTTAATGTTACATTTCTTTGAGAAGATTTATCAGTAGCCTATTGCTGTCCCCTGCTTCAAAAGTGCTAGAAAAATAAATGCAAGGTATAGAATTTACAGTTAGATACATGAATAAATGATATTTTAACTGTAAGACATTTGTGAATAGTGCTTCTTTTTTTTTTTTTTTTTTTGTAGAATTTGATGGAAAGTTTTCAACAACATTTGGAAACCCTGCAGTCCTTTGAGAACAGAGATAATGCTGGAATGCTGCTAGTCCCACCTCAGAAGCTAGAAGAAATGAGAAAGAGGTTTGTGATGTCAAATTCCTCCTTTGATTGCTGCATTCAGCTAAAGATATTTGAGTTCTTATCAAATTTAGTGGCCTAATTGCAGACTGATGATGGGCATCTCTGCTACCCTTGCTGACATACATATGCATTTCCCACAACCTACAGATGTGATGTATTCACTGGAGTGGGGAAAATTGCTCATTCAATCCCAGGATCTTATTTTCTTTGTAGAGGAGTTGTGTGCTCTTATTCTGCCCATCATCAAGAACACACATTTTCAAGCAGGTCTTTGAATACAGAGAAACTAATATCTCCTACTTCAAGCCTAGCTTGTGGCTACAGTGGCTGGATTCGTATAACATGCTTAATTTGTTTATTTGGGTTCATACAATGTATTGTAATATAAACTGAGTTTTCACCAAACACAATTAAAACTAATCAAGGTTAAAACTAATTAAAATAGTCAAGAATGTGGTGCAAATATAGCCAATGGTGCTCTAAATGATCTGATTAAGGATATGTACTTTGTGCTAATAGAAAGCAAAATGTAGATGGACCACAGGCCTGATTCAACACAGCTCTTCCTACATTCTTTGTTTCTTGAAATAATACCAGCTTCCTGACTTTTGTCATTCATGTTTTTGTATCTTCTGTTTATAAATATATGGAGCTGTTTAATTCTGAGCCAGACTGTTCCTCCATCTGGTTCAATACTGTTTATATTAACTGCCAAGGTTTTTTAAAGCCTCCCCTAAGACTTCATGTAGCTATGAAAACCTTGGCTGGGTCCCCCATAGGCCCTCCCACAGTTGTAGTGCTTTCCTCTGCTCTTCAAATTCATCTATTCTGTCATTCTTGCACCACCATGATCCAATCACAGTATTTCCTGTTCCCAGTTCAACCTACCCCACCTGCAACCATTTATCTGTTGGAAATAAAGATGGATCAACTGAGTCAGCTGGTAAAAAGCTGTGCATTCTTCTAGATCACAGCGCGTCTTATGCAGTGCAGATCAGGCCCACTGGTTTGGTCATACACTTTACAGACAAGATGTTGGGTTTATTTTCAGGTTCAGCAAAGTTCAACTTGAAAATTTTGGCATATTTGTGGAATACTACCGCTTAGCCAGCTCAGCTGTCTTCAAGGAACTGACATCTAAACTGAACATCTGGAACATCAAGTTTGGGACTAAGGAGACTGTGGAGTTATTGCTGTTGGATTGGCATGTAAGCATCATAGCTGAGCAGCCCAGAGTCACCTTCTGGGGGAGATGGGCAGCATATAAATTTAATAAATAAATAAATTATAGTTGCTTGCTGGCTAGCTATGCAGAACACTGGTGCAGAGACTAAAGAGTTGAACCAAAAGGCACCCATACAAATTTTGTACATACTATGAGTTCACTGGGTTGCTTTAAGGAAATAATTTTCATCCAAATATGCATTATGGATTTAGCATGTAAAAAAGTGCCATATGTTAGCTGCTGTTGTAAATAACTAGTATATACCTTGTCAAGGTTTTGTACAAGTTACGGCAAATAAATTCTCAGCAATGGCAGGCACAAGAAGTTCAGATAAGTTGATTCATTGTAGAGTATTAGGAAGCCATACATACAAAGCAATTCAGCATCTAACAGTATACAAGAATCCTGCCCTATATATATATATTAGACTAATATACAGTATATGTGTGTGTATGAACTGGTCTGAGTTTTAAATCTTGGACCCCTTGTTCCTGCCTTTTCAAGTCAGCAGCTGTTGGACTGCTTGTTCTCTGTCGTTAAGGTTTCTAGTATCTCTGTCCTGTTTAAAAAACAGCTTTCTCACATCAGAGATTCCCATCTTACCAGCCTTAACCCCTACATATATAAACATCCAGCAGATGTCAGTGTAAATCTACAAACCTTTAATAAGAGGACTGAGAAAAACCACAATTTGTTCCTCTAAGTGGGGGAAGACTTGCTAAATTTTGCAAGGTCTAAACCTTGACAGTGTTGTTGGTGGATTGAGAGGCAAAGAAGGCTATTCACTCTTGAACTGCCTGTTCAGGGTCCTGTTGTTTGTTAAAAGCTGTTTGTCAAAGCTTTGAATTAATTTATTTCAGTTGAGATCACGTGTTCCAGGACTATCAAATATTTCAAAGTTCTTGCATCATGCAGACTGTGCTGGATCTGAGCTTTTTGCTTCCATGATGTTATCCTCATGGACATTTTCATTTTTTAAATTCTTTCTCACCCTCTTCCACCTCTGCAGATTCCTTGTTTTTATCTCTCACTTTGTCCCCATTTCATCTGGTCCACATAAAATAAGGGATTCTGTAAATCTCAAACTGAATTATCTCTAATTATCTACAGTGGCAAACATTTCTCAAACAAATGTATCATTTTATTTTGGGGCAGAATTTTATTGAAGAAAAAGGTTTTCTTGGTCAGCTAGACACTGCATTACAAATATGTGAAGCACAGAAGAACAAAATGATGCAGGCTCCTAATCTGGGTAAGAATTCATAAACATCACAGGAGTTGTGTCCAGGCTTGTATTGTTCCTTTGATTTTCAGTGCTTGTTCTGTGAGGACTACTGTTACACAGCAAGGAAGTCATGACCCATAAATTACAGCAATGTATTTAAAGATTACAGCAATATATTTAAAGATTTAAATGAATACCCAAGTTTGGGGCGAGGGGGAGGAAATCTGTCGGAGGATCTCTTTTCCTTCTTGAAAACAGCCTTAAGAAGATGGAGTGCGCTCACTGAATATGGAATAAAGACTATTGGGTAGAAACGGGGAAAATGAAGGATAAGGAGCTAATGGAATGGAATGGGTAGAATCCTGAACATTCAAAGGCACATGTTTGTTACATCGTCACGAGATCTTTGGCCTTGTTCTCACTAAGACAAAGGAAAATAGAAAATTAGCTTTTCAAAGAGATGACCCCATCTTCTCCCAAGTGTTCTTGTTTTTAGTGTGAAGTGATTTTTTGCTGTTGTTGTAGTAGTAATAAGCAGTTCATGAAAGCAGTCTGTAGAGCCCAAAAATGGATTTAGCATCTTCCTGAGAACAAGGGAATGTACACCTGGCCTTGGAAATGAGAAGTAATGAATGAACTGTTAAGGAGGGATTTTCAGGAAAAATTATTAAATAACCCACCTTGATTTTATATGGTATAAGATGGTGCAGATAGAAACTCTGAGAAGCTTTCAAGATTCTCTTATTCTACCTTATAACAATAAAGAAATTCCTGAATGCCTGTTTCTTGACCTTGCTTACCCGTGCCTGACACCCTATGGTCTAATCAGTTGAATTCAGCCTCCAACATATGAATGGCAGTTTAGTAAGATTCATCTTATTAAATTACTAAGATTCATCTTTGTTAAAGTTGCTATTTGGGACAGGAGAAATAGCATATTGTGTACCTATTATACCTTTGCTAGTAGAAATATGCTTTTCCACCTCACGGGAGTCTACTAATGAATGGCTGGCAAGATGAAGTGAGAGAATTTCATTAAACACAGGATGAAGGCTTGATCTTCATTACAGATTTACTCAACTGGTGCTCATTCATGTATGTAATGCAAGAAATAAGTTATAATTGCACCTTATATATGGTTTGAGTCTCACCCCAATGACAGATTTGTGCAAGTTGTTCTCTTTCAGTCTTGATTTCCTATCTGTGAAATCTGCTTACAGCACCTAGTTGTATACAGAGAACCAGGAATGCAGAAGGACTTTGTATACAACTGTAGAAATGGTTACTGGTATTATTATTTTAAAACATTTTAGGAGCTGATCCTGAAGAAACCATCAAACTGTTTAAGATGATAGAAGCTCAGATTTCCAAGTGCAGAGAGTACATTAACAATGTGAATGATACCTTGAAAAAAGTTTTATCATCTTGGGCCACCTATACAGAAAACATCCACTTGCTAAAAACTTGGCTGGAAGAGACACGAAAAGACCATCCTAAGAAGGTATGTTTATTTGTTTTTTGATTATTGAAATTGTTTTGTAAATTATGGAGGGGTGTGTATGTATGTATACATATATATATATATAAATAAATCATAAGCATCATATGCATTTTAACATGATTGTTTAGATCTCCACAGAAACCTTGGCAGCCTGGAATTCACGGCATGGTTCCTTAAATGAAGCTGGAAACCTTTTGATTGAATCCAGCAATGCAGAAGTGGGGTCAGCTGTTTCTGGAGAATTGAAAAAATTGAACAGAAAATGGGCTAAGCTTATAAAGAAGACAAAGTTTGTGAGTGGACATAAATATTTTATTTTCCTAATTTGGTCAAGTCACACTTAACACTGAAGTGATGCAATGTTAACAGGTGTTAGAGAAGTAATAAAAAGGTTCATATCATCACTTGGGCCCAATGCCAATAGTTCAGTGGTTAATTTACATATTAAATTAAATTTGCAGATTCATCCCTGGTTTTTCTAGGCAGGCTTGGGGAAAAAAAAACTCAAATGAAGTGATGAGCAGCCCCCCCCCCCACCATAGAGGCTTACCAGATGTGTCAACTTTCAAATCCTATCATTCTTAGGCAATTACATTTAATTTTAATTAAATTTAGTAAAATTGCAGTGAATTTTGTTATTCCCTGCGTATCTAATAATTTCTTCCTTCTACCAAGTTAAAATTACAATTCAGTGGCTGTAGGGACCAATCTCAAAGTTTTCTTAGACTGTACTCCTCAGTATTACAGAATTTGGAATTTGCATGTGACCTATGAATTAAAGGCTTGATAAGTCATTGTTGGTTTTGTAATACATCAGTAACACAAGGGATTTATTGTGGCATAAGCCTAATGGACCAAACCCCACTTTCTCAGATGCATGAAATGTTTTTAATTAGTATAATTTAAAAAAAAAAAAGCATGGCCAAAAGGCCTTGATATATAAGTTAAGTTGATTTTTGCCACATTTGTAAAAACTCCAAATGTATACAAGAACAATAACCATTCATAATAGTTGTTGTTTTATTGTGCTAATTGAGAAAAAATCCATATTCTTCATTAATATTGAAATGAATAGTGTCACATTTGTGGATTCTTGGATAGTTTTCATTAATACAAACACATACATAAAATAAAACTATCAGAGTCCAATTAACAAACTTGAGGATTATAACAGATGTCACACAATGTTTATAGGAGATGAAATTGTTGAAGATGCAAGAGGAAGAAATGATGTTAGTAACAGATAACAATGGAAATGTTGACTCTTCTATGAAATTCAATCCAGATATGTTTAATAATCCAGTGGAACCCTCAAAGAAGCCTCTTAAAATGTGCTTTGAAAAGGCAGAGGTAAAGAATCTGCTATCTTATTTATAAACTAGAGTTTTAGTAGTTGGCCTATTTGCTGCATTCAGAACTAAATCTCTGCTCTTGCCAATTCATTATGGATGCTTTAGTTTTCTGTGTATTTGCAGAGACTACACAGAGAGGGAAAGGATCCCACCCATAATCCTGCTTCCAGATCTGCAGATGTATTAGTTTAGGACTACCCATCTAAAACAGCCTGGACTTGTAGCGGGCAATTACTAATGCTCTTATGGTTGCAAGTCATGGTGACTGGGTGCTGTCTTCAAATTACCAGTAGTTGAGGAGCAACAGCAGGAAAGGGATTTTTGTTATTATTGGCTTCCCAGGGGAATCTGGTTTACCATTGTGAGAAAAGGAATATTGGACTTTGGTCTAGCCCAACATGGCTCTCTTGGTGTTTTTGTAGTATCTAAGAAATTATAGTGTGGTTAATATTGACACACATTTGACTTACCTTCAGGGGCATCTGTGGGGAGGGGGTGTCAAAAAAGTCAAGCTGGCAGGCACAGCCACACAATTGAAGCCCCCTCCTGTGTGTGTCATCCTCATGAAAAGGGAGCAGGGCTTCAATCTCAATCATGGTTGCAGTTGGAATCTTCCTTCCTGTAACTGAAATCCATTATTTCATATTCTGCACTCTGAAATGAGAGAGAAGAGGTCTTGCCCTTCTTCTGTGAGATATCCTTTTAGATATTTGAAGTATCCTCCCTCAGTTATCTTTTCTGAAGGATAAGCATACCAAGTTCCTTCAATTCCTCTTCATAACAGTTTCCATTCCCCTACCACCTTCATTGCCCTTAGTTGAACATTTTTCAATTTTCTCTGAATCCTTCTTAAAGTGTGGTGCCTAGAACTTGACACAATACTTGATGTGGAGGTCTGATCAAAGCAGAATATAACAGAATGATTTTACCATTTAGAAATGGTACTTCTGTTTGTGAAACTTAAAATTGCATTTACCCTTTTTTGCAGCCACATCTCATGTCATATTATCTCACATATATTTTATCACATATTATCTCACATGCATGTTTTATATTTATCTTTTCTGTTTTCTAGTTTTTAAGAGGATCAGATCCATAAAGGAAAAACCAGTTTTTAATGCAGTCCTATAAGAGAATGAATTACAGAAGTGTACACAATCCTAAAATATATACATCTTCCCAGATAATTGGTTGTATTTTAAATATATTTGATATTTAAAAGATTTTTAGTATGAAATTAATATAATTTTACAGAAAGTTCACATAATGAATTTTCCATTTTTTTTTTTTGAAGTCTCTAAAAATTGATTAAAAGGAAAAAATGGATCACAGGCCTTTTGATGACCGTGGTTATATGGTAAGACTATGTGATGCAATTTCCTATGGTTTTTCTTCCTAGATTCTTCCTGTTAGTCTTCATGCAGATCCATGTATACCAGAAGAGTTCTTCTCAGAAGATGAGGTCAAGCTAAACTTTGAAAAAGCTCACAAGGAACTTGAAGCATCTATTCTGAAAGCTATGCAACTTGTAGGCCAAAAGACAAATTCTGAGGAACCACATTCAAAATACGAAGTGAGTTAATCCATGACACTATTGCATAATAAGCACTCTAAAGGCCATAGTACTGTGGCTATCATAAACAAAGAACAGGAATGGGGATTATGAGAGCTTTAAACAATATGCTAAGGATGTCTCCAGGCAGAAGAAAAGGAAGTATGGCCTACCAGTATCCCTATTATGGTGTCTGGAGCTCTGTCAATATTTGATCCCTTGGTTTTTTTGCATGGGGGTGGGTTGGATGGATTTTTAGGGGTTTAATGGATCCCTTAAACCTTGTAAACGTTTAAGGCATCCATTTTACCTCTTAAAGCCAACTCCCAAAACAAGCCTGGCCCTGTCTACTTTTGGAATGCGGTCCTCAAAATATTATGCAAACCATGGTGCAGTCTTTGAGTGGGTGGAAATTGTACATCCCTGACATAAATAATCTGAACTGTGAAGAGCTCCAAAGTGATGTCTCCAAACTTGGGAGTTTGGTAGCATCTTTTCCAACTAACACATTTTATTAAAAGGCATAAGCTTTTGTGAGCTGCAACTTACTTCATCAGATGTGCTGCATTGGTTGGAAAAGGTGCTACCAGACTCCTGATTTTTTGCCGCCATAGACCAACACAGCTCTCCTCCTATAACGTCTCCAAACTTGGTGACTGAGCTATTAAATGGCAAATATGATTCAATGTCAATAAGTGTAAAGTGATGCACATCGGAGCAAGGTATCCATACTTCACAAATAAAATAATGGAGACTGAATTGTCAGTGGCCAACCAAGAAAAAAACCTTGAGGTCATTGTAGATTGTTCAGTGAATTCACCTACATTGAGTGTAGTGACTGTAAAGAAGGCACATTCCATGCTAGGGAATTCCATGCTAGGGAATAGAAAAAAGGTACACAATAAATCAGATACTTCCACAGTACAAATCTATGGTATGGCCATATCTATTTGCTCCATAGATATATCTGGTGGGCTACCGTGTGAGATGGAATGATGTCTAGATGAGCCTAGCCTTACTCCATTGGGGCTGTTTATAATATGAAATACCAGTAGCTGCATGTCTCACATCAAGTTTAGTTTGAAAAGCAAAAGGCCATTAAATAGTGACTGGCACAGCTTGTTTCATGATTTATTAAATAAAGCACAGTTGGCTAGATTTGCTTAGATCATTGTAAGCCACAGCTTTTTCTGGGCCAAGGGATACTCTTGGCCTTGGAGTAATGTGGTGGTGATGGAGGTCTCCCAAAAGTAGTGGGTAGAGCAATAAGCAAAATTAAATGTCATTTCATTACAGTTAAACATAGTTGATATGATAATTATCCAATATTTTGTTTAAATATTAAACAAGCATTATTAGATGCAGTTATTAATTACTTAATTACAATTTAAAAATTTGGGAAATCTCAGGGGGCTGCATTCCAGGCCTTCAGGGACCTTGTATCAGTCTGGGGTTCAGGTTGTGCTTCTCTGCATTAAACTATAAAAGTATAGTTTAGGAACCACAGTGATAGTATTAATACCTTTTGCTAAACTAAAACCAAAAAAACCATATGATGGTTCATGGTGATGTGTGAATATAGCTTATGTCTCTTACTGCAGCTCCAGCTCCACCTTTTAATGGGGTCTTCTGATTGTGTCCTGTGTCAGTAGGCCCTCCTGGTCTTATCTAGCATGGGCTGTGGGGCTGAGATCAGCACAGGGTAGTGTAGATACTTGTAATTTCCCTACCACAGTGCCCCACAGTTATGCTATATCAAAGATGTATTGGGAGGGGGTAGTAACAGGGCTTCAAATTAATGAGACCAGAGAGCCTAGGAAGGACACTAGGTCTGTGATGGGCCCTGTCTGGGCATTGGAGCTCCAGAAGCTATTCAGTGGCATTATGTGCCAGGGTCTGACAGAATGCACATCAGGCGAGCTCTCCTTGTCCTGAGCAGTGGGTTAAAGCAAGTTCTTTCAAAGGCTGTTCCTCTATGTCCAGCAACGCTTGCTTTACTCTGCAGTTCCACTGGAATGGAAAGGACCTTTGTATCTTCTAGGCATGCATCTACTTTTGGGGGGGGGGGGCTGATTACTGATTATCATTCAGTAATTGTATGTCATTTTCTTCCAGGAGGCTTTTAGCATCTTGGATACTAATATTCTTAGCAAGTTTTTGAAAGCAGCGGAACAACTGAAAAGCATTTTATCTGCTCATGAAAAGGCATTGGTGGAGGAAAGGAGCAAAGACGTTTGTGAAAGATGGGAGGTGAGAAAATGTACTTGGAAATAGAGAGGCATTTTAATCAAAGAGAAGCCACTTGAGTATTTAGTTGTTACATGAAATGTTTGCAGGATTTTTTTTGCTACAGCATGCATGCAGTGAGAATTATTAGCTTCATCCAAAGAGACCTAGGTTGAAGATCGGTCTCAGTCAGTGAGCTCCAGCAAGTAATCATGGACAAGTTATTATGTGGTTCCTAGAACTTTCTCCATATATACAACAACTGTATAGAGAGGACGTGAGTCTGCTGTAGTAGGCTGTATTTCGTTACTACATCAGAGTGTTAGCAAGGAAGAATCAAGGTGCAGATTGCAGTGCGACTCCATACTAACTGAAATCCTGCATTTTGGGGATTTTGTTTGGTATTGGGAATACATATGTACTCTTTTTGCTGACCTTCCCTTCCATGCAAGGACTTTGATGTGTGTTGCCAGGAGATTCACTGAAAGTATATGTGTGGTTCATGAACCATTCTGCAAAATTGGGCTGATGTATACTTGGCAGAAACTTAAGACAGAGTCTTTTCAGTGACTGCAATTTTAAAACATTATATGAAGAAATGTTCACCTACTCCCTTTGTTTTATGAAATAGGCAAAGAGTTTTTAATTTAAAGAGGCATTTCATCCACTCAAGTGATTTGTTCTTTTCTTCTGCTGTGTTTTAATCTGTATTTTTAATATAATCGTGTTTTAACTTGCTTCCATTTCCAACAAACTTGTAAATATGTACACTTGACGTATTTATAAATATTACAAAATACGACATACAATACGTTTACTAATATTTTGCTATAGTCCTATATGTGTTTTATTTGTTCATTTGTTTTTCATTGTGGATTTCATTGTTAGTTACAGTAGGCATTTTTAATGAAAGGCAGTGCCTAAATATACCTAACAAATATGTGGACGAGGATTTTGTGAACCCTCCTATATTCTCTTTCTTATCTGCATGTCTACTGGATGAGATTTAATCTTTTAATTATAACTCCATTCTTTTATGTTTATTTTACTGTTAACTGCCTTGAGTGCTGTGTTAACTAGAAACCCAAGTAGATATGTAATGAACAGATACATAGCTTGCATGGTTGTTATGAAGCTAAAAAGTTATTCTGATCTTAGAACAAGTTTTGGATGAAAAATGTTTCCCTTGCTACCTGAAAATTTAGACTTTGACCATCTCTTTTGCAGGCTGTTCGCTGTGAAATCATGTCCTATATTCACCTGAAATTGAAAATTGAAAGAGAGAAGTTGAATAAGACTTTTTCAAATCTCACTAAGCAGATAAATAAAGAGAAGAAACTGCTCAATGCAGGGAAAACCAAAGGACTTATTGAGGAACACGAGGTACTATGTAAAACCAACATACTCTTTTGTTTCTCAGACATTTCCTATTTTATTAAGCCATCATGTAATGGATCAGACTTACTATAGTGGCTCTCCAGTGTCTCAGTGCAGTAAGAGATTTCCTTTGACTCTGTTTCCTGACATTGTCATTGGGAGGGGCCAAGAACTGAACCGAAATTGTCTGCATGCTCAACTGGGAAACAGTGTAGAACTGTATGATGCAATGATCTGTTTAATACGTTGGTTAGCTGCATATCCCACAGGGAGATTGTGGAATAAATCTAACCTACTAGCACAATAGAATCTCTATACCCGAGCTGAAAGTGTGGATATTCCACCTGTTTGTATTAAGTATCCAATTCTGGCTTGAGGATATAAAATTCTTTATCCAAGATGGACAGAATTATGACCTAAGTTACTGGTGGAAAATAAGTAATTGGTAAGAATTCTGATCCTTTTAGTTCTTTCTCTGCTATTTGGCTGTCCGGTGCTTTGAATTTCCTTTCTAAAAGGTGTTTTAGAGCATGTGGCTGCTTTAAGGTATGGCAGACAGATGTTACATTTGCCCTTCTGCATACTCCAAAGCACCTTTGGAAATTGAATTTGAAGCACTGGTCTAGCATGGTCTAGTCATGGGATGGAGCAAAGAGCTGAACTACACATCAACAACTACAATTTACCAGATCAACCCTCTGCCTTCTGAATTTCAGCAGAGATTCCTCACCCGTAACGTAGCCCTAGCAATGCTGCTTCAAGCATCGGATTGGTTAAGTTAGGTTTAAGTATTTTTGTGGGAGTGTCATTATAGGAAAAGTGCATGTAATTAATTGTCAGTTAATAAGGACTTGGAGTATTCAAGATGGGTGTATCTGCATTTCTGTATCCATTTAGGCCTTCTTTTCTCAGCAAGGTGGCCTGGGTGAGCTTAACACTTGCTTACAAGTTTTGAAAACAATGTGTGAGAAAATGACCAAAGTGGAAAAAGAGTCCAAAATAAAGCTGCCAATTGCAGAATATGAGCAAAAGAAAAAGGAACTTCAAAAACGTGCAGCAACTATTTACAATGAGTTGGTATCTAGGACTGGAGATGAGCATTCATCTGAGAAAGGGTGGGTATTTTCAATAATTAGCGTAGAACTGTTGCATGGGGGCACTCATGATAGTTGGTTCAGCATCCAATAAAATAGCTTTTGTAGGAGATTCTTAACACATCTTTGACGGTCCTTCACTTCGTGGCTGGATTCGTGCATTTCATTATGCTATAAAGTTGTGTTGCCTAGCTTTGACAAGCAATACAGTGGAGTTGAGAACCCCCTTGGGGTTCTGTGAGCTTGGTTGTTTTGTTGCAGACGTTTTGTTACCCGGCTAGGTAACATCTTCAGTGCTAGAAGGGAGTGGGGTTTGCTCTCAGTTTATAGATAGTAGCCTGCCCTGTCATTGTTGGAGGGGATGTTGTTTTTTCCTTGGTAGTTCCTAGATTAGGCTGTTGTTTACCGCTTGGTGGTTTGTCTGAGTCGGTAGTTCCTTGATTAGGGTATTGTTTACTCCTTGCCTCGGCCCAAGGTCACCCAGCTGGCTTCATGCCTAAAATGGGACTAGAACTCCTGGACTCCCCATTTCTAGCCTGGTGCCTTTGACAACTACATAAATTGGCTCTCACGTGACAGTTACTATTAATAAAATTACATGTGATATGCAGTTCTGTGGGTCTTCCACCTGAGTTTTTAAAGAGAATACCTTAGTGGTGAATACTGAAATCAAAAGTAAAGAATTGGCAATATAAAAATATGGCTAAGCCTTCCTTTTCCAACTTTTTATCTGTTCGATATTGGGCATCCTATATCTTCCCTTTACTTGCGTAGGTATTTGGGGAGAATAAAATAAAAAATGAAAAAAAAAATGAAAAACACAATTAAAAGCAGACATTTTGCAAAGTGTTTAGCAGTTTGTCCTCCTGCTTTCTATCCCTGAATTCAGCTTTATAAGCTGTTTTTCAAAATGGAGGGAGGAGCTTATAATTTACCATTATGTGTAAATTGGTCTTGAAATTAAAATACTTTTTGTGAAGGGGGGCACCCGACGGGGCAAAGAAGGTCAGACTAAGAACAGCAATGTGGTGGCTTTATGACACCAGCCCCACCCATTTTTTACATGCATTGCAGTGTCACACAATTATCCAAAGGGGCAGAGCTGATAGCACAATGTTGTAATGTTGCTTTCATCATTGTGATGAAAGTAGAAAGCCCCTGCAGATGACACTCTTTGTGACGTATGAATAAAACATGTTGAATTTTAATTCCAGGGAAGAGCCAGGGGTGGAGGTGACAGGGAGAGAAGACATGAAACGAAGTTTGGGAAACCTTGAGCTATTTTCTCAGTAGCATGTGAATAGAATCGGGGTAGCACCTCTCCTCCTTTTTCCACAATGATACAACTTTTCATTGCTCTACTCTGATGTTATTTCGTTTTAAAATTCAGAGATTTTACACCTACTTCAGTCAATGAAGAGAAGGTATCATCTCAGAATCCTGAAGCTGAAAAGGTAAGACTCACTTTTTAATGCTTATAGCAGTTCTCAAGGATGCTTCCTTGTGATGCTGTTCATGAAGATCAGCCTTCCCTAATCCAGAACTGAAAATGGGGAGTTGCAGTTCCATCTGGCTGATGAAGGCTGATGAAAATAAATGTCTCTGTAGATCAGTGCCTATTTGTTATTATGTGGCAGCTTGAAAAATAGTCTTGCATGGATCATAGAGCCACACACTGGAAACCTGAAATTCATAGGTAGCATTTTTTTTTTTTTGCGCCCTTCACCCAGGATCTTTCTTCCTTGGTGATTATAAAGTATGTTTAGTACAGCATAACATTCATACAATCAATTCATTAATACCTTTTGAAAGCAAGGTTTTTAATACAAACCATTTAATAGGTCCACCTGAACCTTATACTAAAAAGAACTCATTGGGCAGGCTGTTAAAGATAGAATAATGTTTTCGGCATCAGTTCTCTCTTTATACTCTTCCTCATCTGATATTTACTTGATTTGTCATGTATTATATTTGGCAAGCATTTCTAACTAGATAAGCTGAAATAATACTACCTTTTCTCTTAAATAATAAAGTCAAACATCTTTATCAGTTTATATTTTCCTAAGAAGGAGTTGCATAGGTAAAATTATTCTGTTGGACTTCATATCTATCTGACTTTAATTCAGTAGCTCCGGATGGCATATACTGTATTTCTTCCTCCAATTTTTCCCAATAACAGCCCCATGAGATATGTTGGACTGAAAGAGAAGGGGACTGGTCTAAAGTCAGCCAGTGAGCTAAGGGCTGTTTTGAACCTGGGGCTTGCTTGTCCTAGACCAACACCTTAATCTCCATGCCACACTGGCTTCTCTATTCCTGCAATATTTGTACAATATCATCTTTAGCACCCTCTCTGTCATTTCATCTATCTAAGGATTAGACAAGGAATTCATGATTCTAAGCCCCTAGATTTCTTCCCAGGCACTGAGTTCTACTCATATGATGTCCCATACCTGTCCCTGGGTCATAGTTAAAGACCTACTTTGCTTTCTGACTTATTGTAGCTGTTAGCTTCTTCCTAGAATCCTTTTCATTTCATTGGCCTGTTACCAAATGCTTTTTCTTGGAAATTTTATCTTTGATTCACTAATAATTTCATTCAAATTGTTCAGATAGAGCTTCCTCTGTCACAATATCAGAATCTAATAACCATATCCATTACATTGTTATTCTTATTCTTAACATTAGTCCCACTTGTGAATGTCTGGTAAACAGTCAGTTGTGAATTTTTCAGTGTGAGAGGATAGGAATGGCCACTCAAGTACCTCTGGAGGCTGCCCAGGTAGGGGAATCCAGGCTGGCTGGAATTTCAGCTTCCTGGCATCCGAAAGAAGAATAGAGAAAAAGGCCTGAGAGGAGAAGGAACAGAGGCTCTTCCCTTCCCTTCCCTCTACAGCTGCCTGCCATCTCGTTCCATCTCTGCTTCCCCCAGAGCCATCCCATAATAGCAACTACCCTGCTTCCTTCTCAGATTCAAACAGCCTGTTGTATCCCTTCTGCATCGCCACCCACTGACATTTACCCTGAGTGCTACCTCTTTGGGCTGCCAGAATCGAGCTGGCTAAGCAGTTTCAGTTTCTTTTGCCTGAAGATCCCCTTCCACTGACAAAGATGTCCTGCTTGGGCACCTCAGACCAGCTGGATAGCACATGGATGTAGCTGGCCATGGGGGCAGTGAGTGGGGTGAGAAGAAGGTGGAAGTAGCAAGCATGCCCAGAGGTAGAGCCTCAGTGTCATGGCATCATGCTGCATATGACATCAATTGCAGTGAAATTTCATCCTTTGCATGCAACGTCTGTTGCACTAGGGCCTGGCAAATCAAGGTTTCACAGTACTGCAACCTTTTAAAGGAAGCAGAAAAAGTTTGTTACAATCCTTCCTGAAATCAGGCATAAATTATTCCCTTGACAGCCTCTGAATTCTCTGTCTGGGTAAGTCTAATTTAAAAATATTGTGAAAGTTACCGTTATTATTAACAGAAAACCACTGATGGTAGTTTTGAATAAATAAATATAGCCGTATTTACTTTGCATAGTCAGTTGTCTAAAAGAAATTGTGAGGAATAGTATTTGCCACTTTCATACCTCTGACTGGCAGACCAGAGAGCAGATCTCAGATGCTTATTTGAAAGCTCAGATTACAAGCTGTTCTTTAGTTAAATTTATCTGTAACTATTGGAAGAAGTGGGAAAAGACTTTTTTCCTTCAGATCCCACTTACGAGCTTTTCAGCTTTATGTGTACAGCTGCTGTGCAAAAGAGACTATATAGGTCTTTGGCCTAATACATTATATTCATACATTTTTATTACCAAAACCTTAGCTGGGCCCAGAATGCAGTAATTAGAGAATGACTAGAATGATTAAAAAACCGACCTCCTACAAGCATTCTCAGTCTGTATTTTGTAAAACCCATAATTTCTAGACTAAGCGTATTGTACTATTTGAGGAATATATAGGACTATATTACTGTGATAGTCATTTTGCTTTAGGTATGGCTTCACCCAGCCTTCATGCATATGGAACATTCCGCTTTATCAACATGAATGGGAAAACTTAAACATTCAAGATCCCAACTATGCATGTATAGGGTCCTGAATTAGGATAAAAGAAATCTGTGAAAATTATTTTCCTTGTGGCTTCATAATCTCCAGTCTTTCTAAAAGAAGTCTTTAATCTCTTGGGTAAGGATTTCTTTTACCTGGAAAATTAAAATGTTCTGGTTCCATTGTATATACATAAATATTTTATGAATATTATGTATTACAATTATTTAACTATTTTGGACATTTTGTTTAGGATTCAGAAGATGTTTCTTGTATTAATTTTGAACCAGAAAAGGAATTTCAAGATGGCGGACATCAGTTGGAAGGTGATGGAGACTTGGCCTTAAAAAGATTAAAAGAGAGGTACCTTTCAGTATAAAATATTCAAGTGACAAGAAATAAATATTTATCAGAAATTTCTGGAACAAATTTGTAAACATGTTTTGTTTTTGTTTTTTAAATAGAGCTGAATTTTCAGTCTGGTTTACCTTGGTTTAATCTGTCAGATTCCAATTCTAGAATTTTTATGAAGAGTAACATAAAATGCATTCTCCTCAAGTTGTACTCTTTGGACCAGTTTGGATAATTAATTCAGATTTCTTAATTGTTTGGTCTTGAAATGGCCTAGGGCTGAGAGAAGAGCCTTTGTCTTAGCTCCCTCCACTGTTTTCCTTCCCTCGGCCTCAGAAATCAGACCTCTCCTGGTTGGATTGGCTTCCTTGCTAGCTGGACATTTAATTTAAGAACCTTCTTCTTTTTGTGCATTGTTTTTGTAGTCCCTGGCCAGAAATTAATAAAGTTAAAAGTTAAAGAAAAATATTCAGCTTAAGGTAACATGACGCCTATACTATCAAGATGGCTAAAAGAAGGAATGGGCAAGTAAAGCAATGGGGAACAAACTGTTGTATTGTATCATGCAGATGAGGAGGAGAAGACAGCATTAGAACAAGCAGACATCTTGTTTTCACCTCCAGTTTTCCATAATACTACTAATAATGCATCTCTTAATTGAAATATCTTGTTTTCTCTTAGCTATGACACAGCAAGACATAATCTGAAGCTTCACCTAAGCAGCATCAGGGAGAATATAACTCCTCCTTTAACTGATGATGTGACAAACATTTCTTCCCTTCAGAAGAAACTGGAAACACTGGAAGTGAGTGTTCCTTTCCTAATTTGTCTATTAGGTCAGGGTTCTTCAAATATTTAGCACAAGTGGCTATATCTGGAATTTTGAGAGAATATTATGGGCGTGTTCATAAAATGGTTGTCATGTCTGATGGAGCCAGTCACAAAATGCCTGTTACACCAGAGGGCAAACAATTGCCTAGGGTACAAGTATTCCCATTTGATTTTCTGACAGTAACTCTGCAGCCTCAGAAAGAGCCACTAGCGCTGTTTGAAATAAGGTTCAGCTTGAGGCTGATGCTTTGGTTTATAGCCTGTTAGGTTCCTATTAATTTTTTAAAAATAATTGTTAAAAATTAAATTGGTAAGGCAGGAAGTTTGGCAGATGCCAAGGAATGTATCAGGAATGCACGTAGCTGCCCTTTCCCTCACCCAAGCACTACCTTGAGGTCTTGGGTAAGATAGATGGGCATTTATTTTGGCAGCAAAAAAAAAAAAATGGATTCTATTGGGCCATCCCATGGAACAGCTCCCCGAAAGAAACATATTGTAGGACATGTTGCATAACACTTCTCCACATAAAAGTGAAGATTATAGTTTGCCATGTTTAACTGTTTCTTGGAATCTAGCAGTGGCTTACATGAGGGTCTGAATAATATCTTATCTAGGCATATCTTTTCAGTTTTAACAGAATTAGTACTGATACTTACAGAGCATTCATTAGGTTCCTCTGCAGAGAAATCTACAAAGGAATTAATTTTAATAATGAATATTCAAATTAGAATTTATATGAATGTATTATATAAGCAATAGATGAACTAGTTGTGTTTTGTCTCAATTCAAACATTGTTAAACTATGGGGAAAAGGCATAATTAAACATTATTATTTCTCTGTTTGTGTTTATAAATCTAACAATGTTACTTAAAAAAATAATAGCATACCACTGATATTTACACATCTTGCTTCAGGCTTTAGAAAGTAAAGGTGACTCTTCCTGGAAACTGTTTGATTCTGTGACTTCACAGTTAGTAAAGCTCTCAAGTGAGATGGACAATCCTGTCACCTCTGAGAAATCTCTGGAAGATCTGCACAAAGAATGGGATGAGCTCCAGTTTGCTTTAGATAAAAGGTACAGCTAGAAGCTTGAAGAGGCAGTGGGCTAATTGGACATAAGGGAAGTACACATAACTTTGCCTTCAAGAAAATCAGTGATGCCCTATTCTGAACTAGCCTGACTATCAGATGGCATGGGAGTGGGGAAAGTTCGTTTAGCTTGCAGATTGCCTCATAAGTATTCAGCTGTTCATGTGGAGAGGGGATGGCTTATACTCCTTATGGACTGAGGCTATGGAGACCACAGAAAGTGAGAAAAAATTATAATGCACAATCTGGATTGATTTCTGGGAAGGTCTCTAATTTTTTAAAGTCATACTCATCTAGCCTTGAAAGGGAACAACAGAGATTCCCCAAAGATGAACATGACAAAGATGTGTTCAAGCTTCCCCATTTATTATGAACTTCTAGGGGAAGTGGTGGTAACCAATATCAAACATCACATCAAATTACATTCATCAAACTTAGCACATACAAATGGATGAGAAGTTCTTTCAGTAACTTCTACAGACAATGGAAGTAATCTTAGGAAGTTTTGCTCTTTTTCTAGACCTTTTCCTTATGCTCAGGTAGACTACATATTTTAAATAAAATGGTGAGTTGGGGCATTGGTTTATTATCTTACTCCTGTTGCTCAAAATTTTACATAGCCTAGGTTGCGGGCTATCCTGATCCTGGCTGATCTTGAAAAGCTAAGACCTATAAACTTTAATGAAAAAATGGAAAGCAGAAATCCTTGTGTGTGTACCACATTCTATGCTGATGGAGTTGTGTCATGGAAGTTCTCTGTTCTTATATGTTGTACAATGTGTGGAGATATTTCCTTAGGGGATGTCCTGTTCATGTCGCCCTTACTGTCCTGTAGGAAGGAATCTTTAAAGGCTGCTTTGGCCCTTGTTTTGCCAATAGAAAATGAATGGGTCCTACTCTGCAGATCAGAAGAACAGCTTTGCAAAAGAGATATTCCACGGTGTGTGATGAATAAAACTGATCTTCTGTACAAGAAGATGAAGGTTTGTACTGATGATGCTTAAATTATCCTTGGAATTTAAAGCATACCTATTCAACTTCAATAGTTTAGTGCTGGGTGCTTCCAGAGCATTAAGACTATATGCACAGAAATCCTAAGTGCAAAATTGCAAAAAGAAGTTTTCAGAAAAGAATTAAGAAGCAGAAGTGTTTAAGTCTCCTCTTTTCTCAGTGCAAGTCCCCAATCTCAGCAGCTTTTCCCTAAGGAAAAGAGGTAGTGAACAGAAAGTCTCTTGTATTGTATTGTAATGTTTATTGTGGCAAAAGACCCAAATAGTTCTTTAACTGCTTTTCCCCAGTTTTGTTTATTCCCCTAGAATAATAATAATATATAAATGTGTATGGATAGTGTGCTCATCATTTTTCATCTGCAAAAGTGGACATGGTGCTTAGGAATATATGAAACTACTTTATATCAAGCTGAACCGTTGGTCCATTAATGCTGATCAGTGATGCCTCTCCAGAGTTTCAGGCGGAGCTTTCCAGCCCTACTTAGAGATGTCAGGATTTCAACCTGTGCCCTTCTGAGTATAAAGCATGTGGTCTACCGTTTTGCTATGGAGCTATCTCTCATTCCTTGGATTTAGCAAGTGTAATAGCATAGTAATAAATGCTACACATAAAACACAGTTTCCTGATCCTTTCATCCTTTCTTTCAGAAAATTCAGGCATCTATAGCAAATTGTATTGAACAATGCAACAGCCAAGAGCAAAATAGCCCTGCAGATTGGACAATTGACCAAAGAGATCGGCAAGCCATTGGTTTAATGATCAGCGAGTACAAAATGCGATTAGAAGAACTGAGTCAGAAAATACAAGTCATTGAAACAATTCTGCAAGATCTTGAAACTTTTCTGGCTTCCCTGAAACGTATTCAATGTTCTGAGGATGCCTCTACACTTCTGAGCTGTTCTCCACAGCCAGTGCAGGAGATTTCTCATATGGAAAAAGAGGCCAGGTCTCTAGATGAGAAATTGAAGCAACTCCATATCTGTTTGGTAGAGGCTGAAAGTGGTAAAAAGATGAGCTGTGAAGAGTTTGTAGCAGCTTTACTTGTAAAGGAAAACCCCTCTGTTGGCTCTGAAGCAACAGCAGCAGAGTTTACCCAGAATCAAAAGATTGAAGAATTTTCCTCGAAGAATAATGAGCTATTTAAAAACATTCAAGATATATATGATTTGATCAGTACAATAGGCTTGAGGGACCCAACTATTCCTGCTATTTGGCAAAGGTGAGAAAGCCTTTTCCCCCCTAGTTCTTAAATCATATTGTTGGGGGTTATGGAAGTTGAAGCCCAATACATCTGGAAGCATTCTAAAATGATAGAATATCAGAAAAGTCACAGTAAAATAGTAAGGATTCAATCTGTTTTTGTCTCCTGTTAATATAGGTGGAAGTTGCTCAGTGAACTATGGAAGAAGCTGGATCGCTGTGCTCCAGAAATGAAAACCTTGAATGAGATAATTAGTCAAATTTCCCAGTTGCCAAAAGCCCAGGAAAATGAAGTCAGTCGGCAGTGGGGACTTACCCAGGACCTATGGGAGAAGACTAAACTTGCCATTACTGAAAAGTAGGCCACAATCCTGTACACATATGTGCCTCCTAGGAAATCCTACTGGGATTCAATAAAACATACTTCTGAACAGATCTCAGTAGGACCGCACTAAATGCTTATGTGCTGTTTTGCTACATTTCATGCAACTGTAAAGTGAGACATTACCCATATTAACACATTATAATAAATTAGAGATAAACGATCACCCATGCTGAAACACAGAGCTTTGTTGCTTCCACTTTATGTCTCCTGCCAGTTGGAAGTTAAAGAACTCATGAAAACTTTTTCTGCATTTGTTTATCAAGATGTACAAACCAAAATTATTGACTCTCCCAAACAAGTCAGTTATAGGAAGCCAAGAGCAAGCGTGTTTTCTGACTCTGGTTTGTTAGGAAAAATCAAGTTGGAACTTTTGGTTCACATATTGTAAAAAGAAAATGACAAAAGATGTGTCTTTAGTTTATTTAGCTTCTCCTGTTAAGAAAAGAAACTAGAGCAATTGAGCAGTATGTTCATGGTAAGCCAGAATTCTCATAAATCCGGGCTGGGTCAGTGCTCTTATTCCGAAGAATTGCATAATACAGCTCTTGGGGACTCAACAACTTCTAAATGCTGACATGAGATTACGTGACTGAACTTTAGTTTGTGTAGGAAACTTTATGTTGGTGAGGAAGTAGCATGTCAGGGAATTAAATTTTTTACTATAGAAGAATGAACACTCCTCCTTCCTCCATTTTGACCGGAACAGTCCAGGAAGGGGTGTCCCACTTTGATATTCTTCAGTCAGTGGTATATACAGGTAGTCCTCATTTAGTGACTACCTTGTTTAGCAACTGTTCACAGTTGTAACAGTGATGAAAAAGTAAATTTATGACCAATCCTCACATTTACAACTTTTGCAGGACTGTAAAGCTGAAGTGTGGCTGCATTCTTATAGACTAAGGAGTAAGAGATGGGAAATTGGAAAAAAGTTAAACTCCTCTCCCCATGTATTATGATTCTGATTTTAATTCTTCCTCTCAGATGCTATTTTGAAACTTTAAAAGCATATTCCTACATTTAATGTCTACTTTAGTCCTAAAGGCTACTAATTATTTTCCTCCTTTTTGTGAAAGCTTAGATACTTTGGAGTTGAATGGACATACTGGATTCCTTGATACATATGTTCATAATCATTTAAAAAATAAGGGTCTCTAATCTTAGGCAAGTCTGTAAATGTCTTCAATTTTCTTTTGGCTTTGTTCCCTTCCATAGACGTGAACACTGTGAAAGCACAATGGAACTCTTGAAGCAATGTCAAAGCTGCAAAACCCGTTTGACTAGCATTATTCTGAAGCAAGAAAGTGCCCTGTCTCAGCAAGCCTCTTACATGGGAAAAGAGAATCTGCAGAAGATAATTTCTAAGGTGAAGTTTTAGGGAATTCTAGTACATAGGAAACCATTTCTGTGCTTCTGTGCAAATGAACAAGAGTTCAGTGATGGGCATGGGACACAGTGCATTGAGAACTGGAAAGCTTTCATTTAAAAAAAGGAAGACCTAGGAATTAGCTATCAGTGTTTTTCCTCCTTCACTGCTGATCACTGCATTAAAAGTCAGCTGCAGTAACAAACTGCTTCAGTATATCATCAGTTGACCCAAAGGGCTAATCCCTAGCCATGAAACCCTATAAAGCCCTCCATTCAGAATTTTATCCTCAGTTTGAGCAGTCTGTCTCTGACTCAAGAACACCACGTTTTAAGGGCAGAAGCTGTGTCTTACTTTCTGGTCTGTTACTGCCTATCCAGTGCAGCTAATAATGTACAGATTCATAGTGAACAGTGATCAAATCCTAGTTTTCTTGCTCTAGGTGGTGAGTACCTATAGCATGTTCCAGTGAAAATGTACTCCTACTATGGGAATTATGGATCCGTGTAATTACAGTCCAGAGGTGCACTGCTTGGTGCCCTTTGGCTAATGCCCATTAAGCGCTGATTGTATCTGCTGCAGGCTGGGAGGAATGCAGTCTGAAAAGAAACCTTATCTGCTATGGAACACAGTCTTCTTAGCAGTGATTCATTGGAGAAGCCCCACCTGTGTACAGTGATGCCATCAACACTCCATGGGAAGATCGGAGACAAAGCTCCCAAGCCAACAATGTTTGGGCTCCTTTCAGTCCTAATCCTGCAAGTGTTGTGATTTTTCCACTGTTAACATGTCTGTAGGCAGGGCTTCTTGTCAATTAAGGCATAGATATGTTTCATGCAAAGAGCTTACTGTATTGACAGAAAGAGGAGGAATTACTCAGAGATATCCAACTTTCCATAGACGGTGAAATATATCTCTGGAACAAAATGTTAATATAGGATATTTGAAGATGTCAATAATACTTGCATATTTGAATGAGAAAATAAGTTTATTAATAGGCAGCAATGTCAACATTAACAAAATATATAAAGAAAAGAGGTAGAGTGTAATAATTTTGTTCAGAATTTGATCATACATGTTTGTCATATGTAACATATCTCCTGCCTTGAAGATTTAACTTTACCTCAAAGAGGAATGGGTCATTCCACTTCAGAAGAATCTTGGCATCTCTTTCTGTATCTTTTTTATCTAAATAAAGGCCTGAAGATCTCTCATTCCTGGTCTTTCTATGATTCTCCCCAGCCTGTGCATAATGCAATTAATAATAACAGTCAGAATCCAAATACTGTTACTTATGTTTGATATATCTTTCCTTTTCTGCCAAGCTTGGTTTGATTTGGATTAGGCAATGGCATGAGGGTAACGGGTTAACCCACTTCTCCATTGCTGTGTTTCCAGTTCATTAATCTACAGGTGCAAAGAAAGGATCCTTAGCTTTGGGTTTGTTTTTTTAAAGGATATTTAGCACATCTGATCCCAGGTCTGCTATGTCATTCCTGATCTGGCTCAGGTGCATTGGTATTTCTAAGTAGAGAAATTGGTCAGAGTTCTTTGTTTCAAAGATTGCAGAGTTTCGTGGTTATTTTTTCTGCTAGAAGAATCAGAGGACAAGTTGTATGTCATCTGTTACTTCAAGTCCTTTGTCCTACTTTCTCATTGTCTAGCTGAATCTACTAAAAACAAAGTATTGTCCAACTCCAGGAACAAAGCTGTCATTAACAAAAGCTTTATAATTGCCAGGTGGTAGAGGTCGGTGCTGCACTGCCTGTGTCTGTGTTTTTTGGACATAAAGGAGCCACTTTGGAGGTCCAAAGTGGAAAATAGAAAATGGTATTTTGCAAGTTTCAGGGATACAAATTTGGTGACACAATTCTGTAAGTTAAAATGGGTGATTTATTTTGGAAACTTAACTGTAGTTATCAAAGGAAATATTGCATTATCTGAAAAAAAATCTATTTTATATACAGCAAAATATTTGAAGTTCAATATACCATTAAAAATCCAGGCCCTGCTTCAACATAGATTTTGACAATATAATTCAATATTATACAAATCATATAATGGTAAATGGGTGGGAGGGGAATTGGGAGTCCATATATTTTAAAAGAAGACAAATAAACAAATAAACATGAGATATAGCTATTGTAAGCAAGTTAATAAGTTGCAGTTGCATAAAAAGAAAACAATATTGCTAGAGGTTTAAAATATTTGATTAGACTTTATTCTTGATACAAAGTAACTGGATTTTTTAAAACTTGGAAAATTCACAATACAATATGGCTCTATTGCTTTTTTTCCTCACTCTTGTTTTATGCTGAAACGAATATAAATATTGAAAATCAAAGGCAGTGTGCTGTTTCTTTTGACAAGTTTCTTGCTATTTAGAATTTCCCACAGATGCAACAGTCTTGTTCATAAATGGGTATTCTCATCTTTTCATAGGTCAACATGGCAAAGGAAGAATTTAACAACTACTCTGAAGATGTTGACAGATTAAGTCAAATGTGCAAAAATCTTCAGTGTCAGCTGAACAAAATGAAGAGTTTTGAGGAACCGCCATTTGAGAAGGAGGCTAATGCTATTGTGGACCGATGGCTGGATGTATGTTAAAAAAGCTAACTATAAGGATGTTCCAAATTATCATTTGTTGTAATAATTGAGTTTGACTTCTGAGTATTATTCTACTAAATTAAATACAGCATGTTGAGGAATCAAGAAGGAGGGACATTTGAGTTATAATCAGAACATGCTTAATAGAATTTGAGATTGAGACTAGAAGAACCTTACGTTGTTTTTTATTGGGTGCCACAAGCAAGTTCGTGTTGGAGATAATTCTCAAGGATGTAAACAAACAAGCAATATTGTCTTGTGCTGTTTAGACTGCTTAGCACTCCCTGGAGGTTTTCCATGAGTGCAGATTTTAAGAATGACTTACTTCAATGCTCTAAAAGCTAGAAAAGGACATTGACTGTCTTCTGAATATGCCCAGGCACTTCCTAACTGAAACTAGCTAGGACTCATTATTGGGAGAAGATTCTATCTAGTAAACCACACCACCTTGTCAAACCTGTCTCTAGAATCTGGATTGCTGTTGTGATCTTTGATATGGTAATATTTAAAGCCATATTTGGTAAGAAATTGGCTTTATCCCATGGGAGCATTGGATTACTTCCCTCCCTTTATTTGTTTCTGTGTCTGGATTCATTTTACCTTGCCTTTCTTTCTGTACTTGCTTCATTAGAAAGCTTTATGTTCTGTTTCTTTCTTCTTTTTTGGAAAACATAATTCCCTCTTCCAGGTCAATGAACGAACTGAAAACTATTGTGAAAATCTGGAAAGAGCTCTGGCTTTATGGGACAAGCTCCTTAATTTATCCAATTTGATTGATGAGTGGTCAGATGCAGTGCAGAAGAACTTAGAAGATGGGAACTTGACTGAAAAGGAATTGGAAGAGTTGGAGGTATGGTTGATGAGTATTATTTGTCATTCAGTAACTGCAGGCAACTCTTTCTGAACTGGGTGAGGACTCGTACAATGCATTCAATCTGCAATTCAAGATCAAGTTCTGTTTTTTTCTTCCTCCTTATTCTCTCTTCCATTCTTCCCTTTGTGCCATTTTTCATTCATTTATTAATCACCACAAAAACTTGCTCCAGGACACTTCCTTTATGCTTATATCCCACTTGATGACTGGTTTTCTTGTTTTCTGCCTAAATACAATGCTAGATTCATTAAAATAGTGCTTTGCATTTCTTTATGAGATAGAGATATGAAAAACTTGTGATTGAAAAGCTATTTTTATCATGAAAAGTGAATTTAAATTCAAAATGATACTAGGTGTTACAACAAAGTTTAATATGAGGTCTTGAAAACCCTTAGATTAGGCTGCAGCTGGTTCTGAAAAGGAATAGGGATCCAGTCTGCCATGAGAAAGCTCTTTTATCCTGACTCAATCACTACCCCATATTGCTCAGATAGACAGAAACTTTATTTGGGTTATTGACCAATAAAAATACATTCTATAAAAGTAAGCAAAATTTGCTCATTATTGCCTATATAACTGATGGTAGCTTGGTGAAGGTTCAAATAGGAGTCTTTCTCCACTGTACCTGAAGATGGCAAAGATTGATCTTGGGGCCTTTGACATACAAAGTGTGTAGTCTATCATTGTAAATAGCTTGAGACTGATAAATGATCAGTACATTACTGTATGAAACCTTTACTACATTATATAACTGGATAAATATTACCAATATTATTTTGTTTTACTTGTGAAAACTTCAAAGTCTTTAACTCCAAGCAGCAAGGCCACAGTCAGGGACTTGGAGAATTGTAGCCATATGAGAGGCTTCATTTTGCCTGCAGGTAGTCCTTGCTTAATGACCATTCCTTCAGTGACCGTTTGAATTTACAACAGTGCTGAATGAAGAGACTTACAACTCATGCCCGTTGCAGTCCCCCCGTGGTCACATGATTGCGATCTGGGCCCTTGGCAATCAGTTTGCACTTACAACTGGTTGCCAAGCACCCCGCAATCATGTGATCGCCATTTGCAATTTTCCCTTGCCGGCTTCAATGGGGAAGCCGGCAAGGAAGGTCACAAGCTGCTTCCGCCTGCCAAGAGGACTCCTCCTCGTCTCTGGGAACTGGTTGAAAAAGCTATGTGCTGAAATCCAAGCAAGATTTTCAGCCATGGATAATTTTCAGGTTCAGAGTTGAGAGGCTTCAGAAGCCTCTTGACTCTGAGGCTGAAAATCCAAGCGGTTCTAAGACCCTCACCCATTCGATCCACACTGCACCCTTGCACACCCTCCCCAACCCTCCCACGTACCCCCTTGCTCCCTCCCCCACCTAGCAGTGCCTGGGACTTGCAACTTCCTGCTGGCTTCCTTACTGACTTGATTGTGGGAAGCCAGCAAGAAGTTCCCTCACCTAATGACCCATGAACTTTGCTTAATGGCGGCAGCCGGGAGTGCCAGGATTGCAGTCACTAAGTGAAGCAATCATGTGACATCTTGCTTAAAAACCACATTGCTTAGTGGCCTAAATTGTGGTTGTTAAGCAAAAACTACCTGTATTTATTTATTACATTTACAGGATGCCTGACTGCACCCTGACTCTGGGTGGTATACAAGATGAAACAATTAAAAGTAGAATAATACAGAGATCATGCAAAACAAGTCTCTAGAAATAGAATGCCAACATCATCACAACAAACGCACCCCAAGTTTCCATCAATCATTCTAGTCCAAGCCAGGTTTAACGGCTTATTTGAATAGGGTCAGAGTAGGGGCCATGCAAGCATGACTAAACCATGAGCAACTATCCTAAGGGCCTTGGTGTACAAATAGCAATATTTATAAAGTTCTTTTCAGTCATTAATCTATCTCTGATTCTTCAATCTGATGCCAGGTGGGGTATCTGTTTATAAGGTTATCCAACTCAACACTGGGCAGTATACAGAATAAAACCTAAAATACTTAAAAACAAAAGTAAACGTAATTGGGGAACACCAGGTGGGTACATCCTGGCCTATCCCAGAGCCTAAGGGAAAAAAGTCCAGATTTTCAGAGATTATTTAAAGGCTCAAAGGGTAGGGACAGTCTAAATCTCCAGAGAGATGCTATTTCAAAGGGCAGATGCCATGACAGAAAAAGAAAAACAAAAAACAAACCATGTTTTCTAGGTCCCATCGAATGACATTGCTTAATGCAGTGTTTCTCAACCTCAGCAACTTTAAGATATATGGACTTCAGTTCCCAGAATTCCCTAGCCAGCATGCTGAGGAATACTGGGAATTGAACTTCACATGTCTTAAAGTCACTGAGGTTGACAAACACTGTCTTAATTGATAGGACACAAAGCATGGATTTTATGGGACAGGCAGAAACAATGGGAGAGAAGCAGTCCCTCAGGTATTCAGGCTGTATGCCACGAAGAGCTTTATAGGAGGTAACCAGCACTGGTAACCAGTGTAGCTCACATAGTAGAGGTGCTACATGGCCATTCTGACTCGTGCTCATAACTGTTCATGCTACTGCATTCTGGCCAGCTGTAGCTTCCTAGTGACCTTCAAGGGCAGCAGATCATGGCTCCCATTCAGTTCTAAGTGGTAAAATAAAAATTACAGTTAGTAGTTTGTGCATAATCTGTTTTCTTTCTTTATCTTCTCAGGCTGATGTCCTGTTCCAAGAAAAAAAGTTAGAGGAATTTGATACAAAGGTGGATGAAATACAGTATCTTCTTAATGGCAGTGAACCCCCACTTGAACTACAGGTGAAAGAGGAGAGATAACCAGAATTATGATCGTGGTTGATATGACATGTCTGCCTGTCTTTGTGGTCCAAAAAGGTTTTCTGTACCTCTATACTACCTTGCAATAATGAAAATAAAACACAATTGTAAAGGTCTCTTTCACCATCAGATCTGCCCCACTCAACGGGACAGTACAGGGTGATTCAGTAATTACTGTTTCAGCTGGTATTCAGTGTCACTGCTTTATTTTCCTCTCCTCAACCAAGGGTATAGGGGCAAGGTGAAGGAAGGAAAATGCCTTCCATTCTATTACTTCAGATATATCAGAGCACTTTAAGCCAGTATCATAGATACTGATACTGAGGCCTAGGTCTTCTGAGCTATGTATATTTTTGAAAGCATTCTTACTTTACAGCATTTTTTCACACCTGCCTAAACCTTTTTCACAGTATGTTACCAGATTATAACCCCTAAGATACAAACTGGCACCCAAGATGTCTGTGAAATAATTGTTTGTTAGAAAGACACAATAACAAAGAAAACATAGATAGGTGTTAGTCTTAGACAAAAAAAAGTTTAGGGTTCAAAGACCAAGTATAAACAAAGAGCAATGAGAACTTAAAAAAAATAGCGTTGAAAGAAATTGGAAAAAGCTTTGAGCATATCCAGAATTAAATCAAAATTTTAATACACACACTCTGATTGTTCACTGAATCTAGAAGTCAGGGTGTATTATATTACTTCCTGAGTCCTGTGAGGAGGCTCAGTTTTTTTCTTTCACTCATAAAAAGCTACTGCTCTCTTTGGAAGACTACAGGAAGGAGACCCTCAAGGAGACCCTCTTCTTTCCTACTGTTTAACCAAAGGGAAGAAGGTTGAGTTGGTGAGGGATTTAGCTGAGGCTCATATCTGGGCTGAAAATGCTCCCATCTAGTGGTTGTCTGGAGGTTTGCAGGTGAGGTTGCAGTAACTCTAATTTAGCTAACTTTTCCCTCCTAGGCTTCTTACTTGAGATTAAAAGGATTTGGATATAGGTTAGTTCTGTGTACACTCTGACAAACAGAAATCTCTGGAAACTTGCCTTGCCAGAAGTGCTTATTATAATTATGAATACCCACAAGTGTGTTTGTGCCTCAGTGTGTGTGGGGGGAGGGGAGAGTGCCTTCTACATAAGTACAGTGGTACCTCGGGTCACGAACGCTTCTGTTCATGACCAGTTCGGGTCACGAACACCTCCGTTCGCAAAATTTTGCTTCCGTTCGCGAACGCCAGATCGGGTGACGAACAGGCCATTTTACACATGGTCATGGCTTCCTGTAGGGAAGGGGACTCTCCCTCCAAGCAATAACCGCCTCCCCACCCGCCTTCCTGTCCTCCACGCCAGAAATCGCCTCGAGCAAGGTTAGTGTTCTTTCTCTTCGTACTGTATTTTGTTTCATATTTTTGTGGTATTTTACACATGGTCATGGCTTCCTGTAGGGAAGGGGACTCTCCCTCCAAGCAATAACCGCCTCCCCACCCGCCTTCCTGTCCTCCACGCCAGAAATCGCCTCGAGCAAGGTTAGTGTTCTTTCTCTTCGTACTGTATTTTGTTTCATATTTTTGTGGTTTAAAAAAAAAATACATATGGTTC